CCCCCCGCTTTTGAGATGGAGTGTTGCATTGTTACCTAGGCTGGATTGCAGTGGTGTGATCTCGGCCCACTGCAGCCTCCACCTGCTGGGTTCAAGCCATTCTTCATGCCTTACCATCCCGAGTAGCTGGGACTACAGGTGTCTGCCACCATGCCCAGCTAATTTTGGTATTTTTAGTAGATAGGGTTTTACCATGTTGGCCCAGGCTGGTCTCGAACTCCTGACCTCAAGTGATCTGCTCACCTCAGCCTCCCAAAATGTTGGGATTACAGATGTTGAGCCACCGTGCCAGCCAAAAAAGAAACCTTATTGTTAGGTATTGTTCAAGGTATGTGACAAGCCTGGATGCTAACCTGAGTTGTCTGACTTCAAAGTCCACATTCTTAACCGCCACATTACACTACCTTCCACATTATGATCCTGGCACCTGGTATGCTCTACCAATTTACAAATGACCATATGTGTGAAACCCAGCAGGCAATTTAAGAAACAGGGTAAGATTAAGTATGCCTAATACAGGAAAGAGATCCAAAAGGGCTTGACAAAATAAAACTTAAAAAAAAAAAAAATTAGATGATGCTCAGTGAGAAACTAGCATAGAGTTACACTAAGGACTGACCTTTTCCCTATACACAATTACAGATTAAAAGAGGGTGCAAGATGCCTTTTTTTTTTAAATTTAATTTTTTTTTTTTTTTTAAAAGATAGGGCCTTACTCTATCTTGCAGGCTGGTATACAGTGACACAATCACAGCTTACTGCAACCTGAACTCCTGTGCTCAAATAATCCTCTTACCCTGAACTCCTGTGCTAAGCAACGCTGCCTCAGCCTTTTAAATAGCTGGGATTACAGGAAATAGGTACCACCACCATGCCCAGCTAATTTTTAAATTTTTCTGTAGAGACAGGGTCTCCCTATGATGCTGTGAACTCCTAGCCTTAAGCAATCCTCCTGCTTAGGCCTCCCAAAGCACTAGGAATACGGTCTTGAGCCACTGTGCCTGGCCCCTTACACCATTCTGAAAAGGAGTCTCAAGAGCTAGAATCTCAGTGCTGGGTGGGTAAACAATAATGGATCAAACCCACCGGGAGAAGTCTTGGGAAGCCCCGGATGACACTCCCACCCTCCTTGTCTCCATCATGCGTATCGTGGCTCACAGTGCTCAAACAGGGCATAAACAACTGTGGAGGAAATAATCACTAGTTCGATGAATGTAAAATAATGTTTAAGATGTACATACAATACTAAAACTGCTGGGCCTGAAAAATCTTTTGAAATGTAATGAATTCCTCTTACATAAAAGAGGTAAAAGGGTGGAGGATTCGGTTAGAAAAGCATATGGAGGCCGGGCGCGGTGGCTCACTCACGCCTGTAATCCCAGTACTTTGGGAGGCCGAGGCGGGTGGATCACGAGGTCAAGAGATCGAGACCATCTGGTCAACATGGTGAAACCCCGTCTCTACTAAAAATACAAAAAATGAGCTGGGCATGGTGGCGCATGCCTGTAATCCCAGCTACTCAGGAGGCTGAGGCAGACGAATTGCCTGAACCCAGGACGCGGAGGTTGCGGTGAGCCGAGATCGCGCCATTGCACTCCAGCCTGGGTAACAAGAGTGAAACTCCGTCTCAAAAA